TGTGGGACAAGTGTGGGACAAGTGTGGGACAAGTCTCTTATACACATCTAGATGTGTATAAGAGACAGCTCTCTCTCTCTCTCTCTCTCTCTCTCTCTCTCTCTCTCAGCATTTATCATTGTCTCACATATGCCTGTGTGCTTGCTTCTTTACTCTCATTTGCGCTTTGCCCATATGTGCACGCATGGGTGGAAAATTGGAAATGTGTGGTAGTGAGAATTGGATGATTGGAGCATGCGCATGCATGGGGAGCATACAAATGTGTGTGTGTGTGTGTTTGGGGAGGAAAAGACCTCCGCCGTTGCATCATGGCATGTTGTGTCAGAAGGTACATCATGTAAGCGACACTAAAGAAGGGGCAAAAGAAAAAGTACGAACATGCGAAGGTCACAAAGCACGGAAGAGGAAAGGGGCAAGAGAAAAAGTACAAAAGTAAGCGAAACAAATGAAAAAAAAAAGAACGGAAAAAAACAAAGCGGATGGTGACATACTGTTTTTTGTCGGACTTGCACCGACTCATCAGGAGGCTGAGCCCTCGACAACCTGATCCTCTGAGTCAAGGACTGTTTTAACCCCTTTCAGACCCGTTTGGAAAGGTGAAGCAAAAAAAAAAACACAAAAATGATTCGGGAGCGGAGCTGTATGGAAAACAGTTGCTGGAGAGGACAACCACGCAAACAATTAACTTTAACTTTTCAATGTCTCGTTTCAAAAAGGCATCTGCTGGATGAAATTCCACAGGTTGTAATCACCCTTTTCCATAGCGACTCCACACAAAACGATTGCAGCGAAGAATTGGCTTTAAAGTTTCAACATAGCACTTACTTTGACGGGGGCATTCCGTCAGTTGAGCTGGCGACTTTCACTGCTTCACGCCTTATTCAACCACCTATGTTCCCTTTACGCCTACCGTCTTCACCCGAATAGAACACCCGGTAATTATAGCTGCATTTGGCCCAACTTTCAGTCCGCATGCAGCGATAATGACCGGGCGTTCTATTCAGGTGAAGACGGCAGTCATTCCGAATAACACTTGGCGTCCCGTCTTACAGCAGCTGCTGGCACGGAGTTAGCTGGGGCTTCTCCTTCGTTTTTTTTGTCGTAGTCTCACTAAAGTAAAATAAAAGAGGTAACAAGATAAATCATAAATCCCCTTTGTCACTCACTTGATAAGTGGATGACCCGCAGGCGACACCATTGCGGAGCAAGGCAGCAAGCCTGAGCAAGGCAATGACTCAGGGGAAGCACCAGGCAATGCTAACAAGGCAACTTAACTACACAACACAAAAGCTAAGTGCATGGAATGACATCTCAACCAGATGGGCAGCAAGGCAACAACGCGGTGAAGCACAGGGTGGCGCTGACAAAGCAGCCAAACGACACAGCACACAAGCAAACTAGATGGAAAGACAAGGCACGCGCATGCATGGGGAGCGAGGCAATAGCACAGGGAGGTGCAAGGAAAGATGACTAACCAGAGAGCCAAACTAGGTTCCCTTTACAAAAGAGAGAGAGAGAGAGAGAGAGAGAGAGAGAGAGAGAGAGAGAGAGAGAGAGAGAGAGAGAGA